ATAAAGCATTTGAAGTGAAATTCTGGGCAGCGCTGATCTAGGGCTTGGGAGAGTTGTCTCTAGAAACCAGACTACAGAAATAAACAAGTTTAACTGGGAAGAGAGACTGAAGAATAGCAATGTGACATTACCCTCAAAATTCACAAGTTCACCCCATGATGTTATTATTTCCACTGGTAGGACATGAAGAACAATGAGTCTTAGGGCACTCTTTAGAAAATTGACTAAGTACCGTAACAGTCAGTATTGAAACCGTTAGGTAAAGGGCTGTCTTTGTATATTTTCATATCAATGTCAAAACATTCCTCCGCTTTTATCCCTATCACTGACATTGGGCATACTGCCAGAGACTGTATGCTGAAGGACAATGAACACTGGTTGAAGAAAATCTTACCCAGCACTTCCAAAAGATCACTTAAACCATCTGGAGGTTCTGATGACATCATGGAGAAGCCTGCAGTTTTAGTCACAGGTTAGCTATTTACTATCTTCACACAAGTCACCCCACCTGTTTGGACTTGGGTTCTGTGGTGGTTTAAATGAAAATGCCTCCCAGGCTCTGATGCATGAAGACTTGGTCCTCGGCTGGTGGTAGTGCTTAGGGGGATTTAGGAGATGTGGCTCTACTGTCAGTTCAAGGGGTGAACCCTTCACTTCTGCTCCGGCCACACTGCCTGCCATTGTTGCCTCCACTCCACCATCATGGACTCTGAACTCTTCCAAAAGTTGCCTTGGTCGTGGTGTTTTATCACAGCATAGAAAAGTTATGAAAACAATTCTGTTATTCATTAAAAAAAAAAAAAAAAATCCAGGAGGCATATATTGAAGGATGTCTTCAGTTACTAAAGTATTTTAGCACTTTCCTCTTAGAAACAGAAGGTATTAGCTACTTTTCTATTGCTGTGATAAAACATCATGATGAGGAACTAACAGAAGAGTGGGTTTCCTTTAGGCTTATGCAGTTTCAGAAGGACGAGTCCAGAACCATCACAGTGGGAAGGCAGCAGGTTAGCATGGCAGCAGGAAGAGCTGAGAGCTCACAGCTTCAACCGTAAGCAGCAAGCGCTGCAGAGAGAACTGAACTGCAATAGTGCAAGGCTTTTGAAGCTTCAAGCTTGCTCCCAGTAGCACGCTTCCTCTGGCCTCCTACGCCTCCCTAAACAGCGCAGGCATCTAAAGAGTCAGCAGTGAAGTGCAGTCTATGGGGACAGCTCACTTAAAGCACCACACTATAATCCGTATTACGACCCTCAATAACTGTGGAATGCTAAGGGGAGGGCCCAACTATAAGGCAAAGGACATTTTAAGTCAAAGGAAATATTACACGCTACGTTCATCAGAGTAACTGAAGGGAACAAAGAGTGTGCTCTAAGAGAAGTTTCCTGTTTTACCTATGGTATGTGACTTTGTTTCTTACCACGACTTTTGTAGCTTGGGCTGGTTCCCACTGTACGAGTGTGACCCCACCACACAGCATAAAAACTGAAATCCACTGCAATTTGCTGAGTGATCGATTTAACATTAAGACAGTACATAAAGCAGTACAGGGAATCTTCAATTGATAGGTCACCTGCAAACAAAGCAACAAATAATAAGCTCATCTAATGTCAGTCTTTTATAGAGACATGTCTCATATCGCCAACAGAATTCAGAAAATACTTGTGAATGTAGTAAAGGGTTCATTTAAAAAAAAACAAACAAACAAACAACAAAAAAAAACTCAATTGACCTCAAATCCGTTTTTTTGTTGTTGTTGTTGTTGTTGTTTTTTTTTTTTTTTTTGGTTTGGGGTTTTTTCTCTTGAGACTAGGTCTCACTATATAGCCATGGTTGGCCTTGAACTCACAAAGATCCAGAGGGGGGCCTAAAGGCATGTGCTACCATATCCTGAAACACTTTTTTTTTCTTCAGTTCAGAGCCTTTTGGATCATCACCTCTGCTTACCTGGTATACAGCTGCATCCAGATTACTAAGAGCTAGGAAAGCCATGTTGTTCTGAACAGCATATACCACTGATGGCACACTTAACTTCATCAGCTCCTTGGGGCTCCCCAAGACGTTCTCACATAAAGATGCTTTAAATCTACCCAAACTGCCAGTTTCTCTTTGAAAACAAAAGGGAAGTGAAAGAATGTGAGGCAGAAAAGTAAACAACCTTTCCCATCCAGGGCTGACACCAGCATCTTGCACATGCTAAGCGAGTCATCCACTGAGCTACACCTCAACCTTTAGTTTCTGAGACACGGTCTTATTCTGTGGCTGACCTAGAACTTACGATCCTCCTGTCTGCACCTCCCAAGTGCTGGGACTACAGGCATGCACCACCATGTCTGCTAATGAGAATCCTTCACACACAGTTAAGTTTATGATGTAATTTAGAGTGTATGCTTAAGAATTATGTCCAACTAATTTTAGATTTATTAATAGAAATAGGTCTATAATTTATTCTCATTTTTAAAAACTTAAAATTCTACTTATAAAACAGTATAATAATTAAGCAAAATTATCATCAATATCTTCTGGTCAGAGTTCCAGGAGTTTATGAGTACATTAGGTAAAGGATATCTGGGAGTGAGAACAGTATAAAACAGTAGAACAATTAAGCAAAATTATCACCAATATCTTCTGGTCAAAGTTTCAGGAGTTTATGAATACATTAGGTAAAGGATATCTGGGAATGAGAACTGCTGACAGATTATTTCCTATAAAGATTAGACCTCTGCACTTAACTGTTGTATCCAGTACACCTCAGTATCTCTGTAGCTTATCATGCTGCACAGCCATGTCTTTAAAGTGTCTTTCAGACTATACACTTAAATACAAATAAGAGAAGGCTACAACTTGTTTTTGAAAGCAAGTGGTTCTTACAATTTATAAATTTACTCAGTGCTGATTAAATATAATAGGTAATCTTATATAAACATAATCTCAAAATATGTCAAATATGTGTAATTCTAAAGAAATCTAAATAAATAACTTCAGTAGAAGTAAATTATATCTGTAATGTACAAAAATAAGCCTATTGGTTATACATGGTCTTAAAATTCATTCCCCCTACCCCAAGAAGACAGGTTATCCTGGTTTATACTTCTCCTACAGAAAACCACCTTATTTGTCATCAAAATGTAAAAACAAAAACAAAACAAAACAAAACAAAACAGTATTTTATAGTAAGCATCAATACACTTCAAACATGCTTTATCAAAATGGTCCTAAATGCAATTGAACACACCCTTAAAGAGCCATACTCATGTTCACTGTAATCACAGTGAGCCTGTGTTTGGTTTTTTATTAACATTAGTGTGTGGAAACTGTGTGCAAGGTGAAACAAATGCATGTAGTAGACAAGCTTCGTTCACACAGGGGCATAGTTAGCCATGGGTTCAGTGTCAGTTAGTAACATACAATAAATGCGTTAGCTTTTCTTTACTGTAACAAAATCACAGGTGAGGGTTTATTTTGGAGGTTTCAGTTAGCCTAATTGCTCTGGGCTAGACAACTCATTACAATAGGAACACAGTCCCCTACAATTGTTTACCTATGGCCCCAAAGTAAAAGAGAGAAAAGGAGACCAGGGTCCTACAGTTACCTGTGAGGGCATATCCCCCAATGTACTAAAGCCCTCCTACAAGCCAAAGAATAAAGCTTCAGTGAACATTTAGGATGTAAACTATAGTACTGAATAGTCTTTAAATTGAAACACATAAAGTAAGGTTTTGTATTGATGTAATCAATAGCACTTGACCATAAAGAGCAGACAAAAAGGAATATACTTTTTCTTCATTTTTTTTCTCATTTCAATAGTAGTTCCAAATCTTCCAGTAATTATCTCTGATGATAATTATTGCTTCTACTTTGTTGCTTCTACTTTGAACACCAAAAAAAATAAGTTCTTTTTTACATCTGGAAAATTATTTTAACATTATGGCAATAAATTTTCAAGCAAATCTAAATGCAAAATGTGAATCAGTGCTGGTACATTTAAGAAATCATCTCATAAAGTTTTCAAGTAAAAGAATGGTTCCTGTTTTTACCCATCACAGTAAAGGGCTGCTATCCAACCTATGTTTCTTTTCAGGATATTTTTAATGTGTATCAGTGTTCTGCCTGCATGATGTCCGTGTATCAGGTGTGCTTGGTGCCCACAGAGACCGTTAACTAGAGTTGACAGTTGACAGCTGTAAGTTGCCGAGTGGGCACTAAGAACTGAATCAGGGCCCTCTGCATGAGCAGCCCCTTGAGATTATTTCTATTTATGTCTGTGAGTGTGAGTGCTACCTGTCTGTGAGTGCCCACATATGCCAGAAGAGGGCATCAGTATAGATCAGCTGGAGTTACAGAAAGTTGTGAGCTGCCCAACATGAGGGCTGGGACTTGAACTTGGGTCCTATGGAAAAGCAAGGACATTTAACTACTAAGACATCTCTCCAGGCCCAGTCCCCTATAACCCATGATTTGATTTTGGGTTTTGTGCTTATTTTTCTTGTCTTTTCTTCTTCTTGTTTGTTTATTTGATGGATTGTTAAGGAAAGTCTCATTATGTAACCCTACCTAACCTGGAACTCTGTATACAGACCAGCCTAGCTTGGAACCCACAGACACACAAA